CACTAGCCTGCGCTATGAAGTTAGGGACAAAAGTTCTGGAAAAATTCCTGGAGGATTGCATCAGCGATGCTGCGCAATTCTGCGAGATAACGTTCGAGGTCAAACGGACTGAGGGCTGACGTCCGAAACCTGCACGCACGTGTACGGGTCCGTCGAAGCTTCTGGAAGGCTTACCGCGGTGGGGGGCAAGGGGCTGTCTCAAAACGTCGAGCGAGAGGACCGCCGGCTCTGGGAGCGAACCTTCCCGACTTAGCATGGACACGAACCGTCGAAGCTTCCAGAATGTTCTAGAAGGTTCTCGATCGTGCGTAATTCCCGGAATCGAGCGTAAAATTCCCGGAATGTGACGCAAAATTCCCGGAATCGAGCGAAAATTCTTGAAATCGAGGGTTCTGATGGCGTCACTTTCAGAAATTGTAGAGCTCACGACGGCAACTTAGCACGGACACCCACCTTCGAAGGTTCTGGAGTGTCGGTATATGTCGGTTACAGGTCTCCTGGTCCAGAACTCCCAAACTTATACTACTGGTGGCCAATTAACTGGACCATGCAATCTAATCCAGCGCTCCGGAAAACGACGATGCAGCTCCGCCCGCACAATTAACGCAGTGTGTGCTCCTGCTCCGTCCTGCATCCACCACATATTTCTGCGGACCACTTCTGAAACGTTCCGCAGCATACCGTCAAGATGCTCCTCCAATAACGTGATGTACTTATGTCGATCTAAATTTCCCTCAATGAAATACGGCCCTATAAGACGATCACTGACGATGCCTGCCCAAACGTTAATTTTGCACTGGTGTTGAAGTGGGATGGGAATCGTCCAATTTGGATTCTCTGGTGCCCTTTTGCGGGTGTTTTGCCGATTCATTATTCCGTGGCTCGAAATAGTGCACTCATCTCCGAAGCAAACGGACCGAAAAAAATTGGGGTCTTCCTCAAGATTTGCCCTTGCCCATAAAGCATATGCGGAGCGAGTCGCTGGGTCATGCTCTAAAAGCTGCTGCTGAGGCTGGATTTTGTACGGAAAAATGACTTTGCGTACAATCAGCTGTACTATTTTACGATTCATTCCTACACAAAAAGTGTCGCAATAAGGGAAGACAGTTAGAAAAAACATCATTATTCAAGATAAAGAAAGATTTGGAAGTTTACAGATGACAAATTCAAACAAGAAACCGAATAAAACATCTTTAGCTGTACCAAATGGTTTAAACAATTTTCAAAAAGCGTTACGGTTGTCAGTTCGAGAGACTTCCACATACTTCTCACAATTTATAGTGAACGTACGTGCCCAAAAGTGTGATCGATACAAGAACAGTTCCAGAGCTACTTCTAATTGTGAAAATCAGAAGTAGAGACGAAATTACTACATGTATCATTGGCAATCCGGAAGCAAACGTTCATTGGATCGATTGCTCTTTTGCGTATGTATGTACTCTCCTAAAATAGTTGCAAAGACAAAAAATCCTCGAATCGTCGGTCGGGGTGTAATCATTTGGTGCAGTTAAAAATATTTATACATAAAAATATAAAGTACGTTCATTGAAACGTAGTGCTTCACGTGCGTAACGTCTTGCACTCTAGACTAGATTGTTTCGAAACTCTTCCAATATTTCTTCTCCTCGGGGCCGCTAACTGGCCTCACTCGAGGTCTTCTCGGGGCCTTTAAAATACCGTATCGTAGGATCGTACGTGGAGACTAACAAAAAGGTAAAAAAGACGAAATGAATATTTTCACGTACGAGTCCTAAAAAAATAACTAATAATGCGTACCGCATGAAGCTTTGACGAGAAGAAGTCGGCTCATTTAAGTGTATTAATCCATAATATCGGCTGGCCTGCAGATAATTATAATTTGCACGCACTAAAGCGGCATGCCTAAGCACGCGACGATGATCCATGATTGAAAACTGAGAATAAACCAGCTGAGTCTCGATAACAGTTTATCTTTTGTTTGTTTGTTGGAGCTGAATTTGTGCAGAAATTTACCTTCCGTACAAGCTTTCTTACAGTTTTTCGATTTATAACAACAAATAGGTTTACTTTAAGAGAGAAAAAGCAAAAAAATAAATTGTAAACGACCATAAAAAAATTGTGAATTACTCCATCGTTGTGAAATCTCAAAATGAGCATTTTTATGTCCGCTATATTGCTTGAGATTTACATAATGAATTTAACAAAAAAAATAGTTAATTATTTTTCGTCAAAAATTTCGATGTTTATAATTGGCTTAATGGAAAGGAGCGAAAACGATCACGTTTCCTGCAGTACTGATAATAGCATATTGAAGAGCAAGTAAAAGCGTATTACACCCTGCCGGTTTGATCTCTATTATGTTTTTCGCTCGACTATGTGCGTTTTGTTCCTTTTTCCTGAAATATTGTAATCGACTGAATGGAAAGGAGTGAAACTGATCACGTCTTCTAAAATACTGATAACAAGAGATCAAACTGTAATGAAAAACGTAAAAAACAGTGCCGGGTTGATCTCTATTTTATTGCTCATTTAACTGTATCTTTTTGCTCTGTTGTCTAAACATTTATAATCGATTGCATGGACCAGAGACCACGTCTCCGGTAGTTTGGGTAACGGGGCAGCAAACTACGAACAAAACCATTAAACAACACTGTCGGTTTGACCACCTAATTTGAAGAAACTTATTATTTTACTTTATTGATACATTGTAGTAGTCACAATAACTTGTTTTTATTAACAAAAATGTAATTCTACTAAGAAGAAATACTTTGTTCATTTTCTATACACACAAAAGTTTTCCCGGAAGTTTTTTTGCAACGGAAAACTGACATTATTTTTTACTTCAATCTTCATTTCATTTTGCTTCGCAACGCAATCGCATGAATACATCGCGTACGAATGCTTCAAATTATAGGTTACTCCTTGACTTCTCGTTTATTTCAGTTTTGACAGCTTACCGCTATAACCACGATTTTCGACAGTTAGGCGTTCAGCTGACTTACGATACTCACGACGCATGCGCGTTCGAATTGCCGGTCCAATTCCGCTTTTACGTGTGCCAGTCGTGCATTGCCTGGTAAAAGTAGCAATTTCGAATAGAGTTATCGCCATCAAAATGACCTCGAATCCATCGCCCCAAGGGTGTTCCGAATTCAGATTTTCATAAACTTGATGTATCCATAATAAAAATATAGTTTTCAAAAAATTTCGAGTTAAACATTTCTGTCCTTTAAAAAATATGCATTTCAGCGCCAAATCATTTGCGCCATTAAAGAGTGCTTGTAAAATCATTCAAGAAACATCTATTAGATGACCCGGAAAGACCGTGCAAGTACGTAAATAATAGGTGTCCACTTTATAATTGTCGCCCTGTATATATATTGTAACGCATTTCCTGGCCTACGTCCTATCTACGAACCCAACGTGGCGTTCCGCGGATCCCTTGGGCGCCAGGTGCATCCTTGCACCAGCCCGACTCGTCGGGCCTTTAATTTCTAATCCGCGGCACGTCAATTCTGGGAGTCTTCTCGACCGGATCTTCCCGCTAGCTCCTAATCCGACATGGTAGAGGGGAACGTGAGGGCGGCGAGTATCTACAGGAATCAGCCGGCTTCTTTGGTAATGACTAACACGGTGGGATTTAATTCCAACAAAGGCCCTTTATTTTGCCTAGGTAAACGAGTACAGTCGGGTGATGTATACGAGCGCGGCTCGATACAATTCTAATACACAACGCGGTCGCAGAGGTCATCTCTGTTGACGGTGGACGGTTCGAATCTGCAACCGCCAGGAAACGTGGCGAGGACCGCAGCCCCCCACTCCTCGTGCCAAGATGCACCGGTGGATGCGGCTGCATGACTTTGGGGCGGTCGCCTAAACTGCACTTACCGATTCTTCCGATGCACCGAACCTTTCTTCCTCGCCGCTCGGGTGGTGGTGGTTGGCAATTTTCCTCCTCGTCGGCCGTCTTCTCCCTCTGTCACTCTGAGTTCCGTAGAAGCGCCGACGTCGTCGATTGATCCAATTTTCCCGCCAGTCTCCGAGCGGCGCCGATCTTAGCCGAGCCCGCCCGATTTTCGGACTCGGCGGTGCCGGTTTCTCTCCCTGGCTTCCCCTTGCCCCGAACCTCCGTCGTCGTAGGCATTCTCTTGGCGGCTTTCGTCGGCGACACGGCTCTCCGTGCCCCTACGCTTTTATGTAACTGGCCGTCCCACGGACGCCACATTACAATATAACTTATAATTTATAATAACTAACGCATGTTCGTCAAGGATCGGTTACATCTGTTGTGGTCTTTGACCTTTGCTAATGGGAGTACTGAGGGGTGCTGAAGGGGGGGGGGCAATGGGGTTGCGTTGCTTCGGACGTAACATCTCCCTCCTCAGATGGAAAATCGCCCTTTTTGATGATGCTTCCTCTCGTCCCTCCGGGTGATTTTGGAGGTGGACTTCCTTCCTGGTTGTTGGTCGTAGAAAGTGACATCTTCTTGAAGCGGGTCAGGGTCTGAGGTGGGTGTGGTGGGCGTAACAATTTCCTATGTCCCATCCTCGCGAATCGTCATGCGTTCTTCACCTTCGAGGGAGATTAATTTTAATTTCCCCGTTTTCGATGGCGTTACATCGTTTTTTGGAAATCACGCGGTGGTGTTCGTGGGTGTAACTTATATTACGATTTTGGTTGTGGGGATGTCAAGGCAAGTATGGTGCATGATGTGACTGTGATTTTGCTGACGATAGTGAAGATCCACCACCTCCGCTACCTTTACCTTAGCGTCTGGACGTGGACCGGAGCCTCATTCTCGCTCTGTCCGCCGAAGTGTAGAGAAAGTGTAAAAAAATTTAAAAAAAATAAAAGTATGGGTATCTCAGTTGTTACAATTTCGGTAAGTAAGATCGTCTAGTGTCGCCTGTGTGTTAGTGTTTAGGTGCGCGCGCTGTTGTGTGTATAATTTTGACCCCTTTTTTTCTGTTTAGCTGGTCGGTTATTTGCGAGTGGGAGATATTGTTGCCGTGGGTCGGGCCCGCCAGTATGCCCGCGGGCGCTGTCAGGCTGGAGGTTGTTTGAGGAGGAGGACTGGGGCGGGGAAGAGATTTTCTCGTTCGGGCGCCTCTTCGGCACCTCTCCGTTCACCGTGTACGTGGATAGCTGGTGGTATTGCTGGTAAGTGTCGTGTTTTGTGCGTATATCCTTACTTATTCCATTTGACATCTTTAACCCCCTTTTTGTTTTTCTGTTACAGAACGTCCACCAGCTGTGGGGGAGTAGAAAATCCTGCCCCCCTTTTTTGTAGTCTTATTAGAGTAGTGTAATTAATTAATTTTTTTTTTCAATAAATGTATGCCTATAAGTTTACGTGTGTCTGGTGTTGATTTCTTAGTTTCATGTCCTTTCGTAATATTTACCATTGAAGGCTCATTGGACGGGAAGCATGCGTTTGGGGACTACTAGTGGCGGGGCCTGCTGAAGGGCTGTTTCATCGCTGGGTATTGGTTCCTTGGCGGATTCGGGATCGCATTTACGCTTGGATCTACAACAGCGTATAACTTGGACGCCTGCTTTCATCATCTGCCTTTTAAGGGGATAGAGTATAATCGCGATACTCGGCAAGGCCGTTCCTCCTATTGCACTGTACAGGAAGGGTTGGTGCACCGTGCGTTTGCGGTGGTGCGTCTGGATCTCGTTTAGCTCGGTGACTAGCTGATTCAGCGATATTTCGCGTTGTTTATATTTCGTGCTCGCTGTCCGTCCTGAGCTCGAGGGCTGCATGGGCTCGTGGTGGGTTTGGCGATAATACTCGTGTATTTCCGGTACTAGGTTACTGATTTCGAGCGACACCGATGGTGTGTAAAAGTACTGTTCCGCGTCGTTGATTATTTCTATTCCCGTTAAAGAAATGTAGGTCGTGCACGCGCTGCAACCCGGGCGAACTTGGAGAATTCCTGCGCCATTGAGCGGTGTCGTTTCAGTGAGGTTCCCGTTGCAGATTAATTTCAGGGGTTCCGATACTGCTGCTGAGTAGAGCCATCCTTTGAGTGCGTTTAGGTATATCCATACTGGGTTTATGGTCGAGGTTAGGCACATGTCGCAGGATGGTAGGGTTTCTTGCGTTGGGGCTGTTAGTAGGGAGCTTTCACAGGTCGGTTGGGAAATAGTTCTGAAGAGTGGTTGATTGGGACTGCAAATTTGATAGTGTCGTGATTGCTTGCAATGCGTCATGTACATGTCGTCAGTAGTCATATATGTATAGTTCGTGGTCTGATGAGATGATTAGATAAGGATTCTTCGGAATTAGGTATGCAAATTGGCTGTCGTGTTGGTCATATTTCTGGAGGACGGGGCAGGGATGCATTTTATAGGTAGTGAAGTGCATACACTTCAAGAGAGGGATTCGCAGCTCAAAGATCAGGCGATTCCTAGCTGAAAAAAGTTCCTAGCTCGTCAAAATTTGGAGGTGTCCGTGTATATAGTGACTCTCCATTCTTTGTCCACGAATCGGACCCCTCGAATGGGTTCGTAATACAATCCAGGATTATGGTCCAGGGGCGTCAATACGTAGTTCCTCCTGCCTTGGCTGTTGGTGATTCTGGTGGCTGCTATTATCCCGACTATCGTGATTACGAGATCCATTTTCTCGATTTCCTCTCTACTCACTTGATTGGGTAGCTAGTTTTACCTTATCCGTATGTTTTAGAAATCGGTCTTTTTGCTGGATTTCTAGAATGACATTGTTATGGTCGGTGATGTCAACCACCTTGTATGGGCCGATGTTATGGCTATCGAATTTGCTTGTTTGAGGTTCCTTTAGTACGTACACCATATCGCCTATTTGGTAACGGCGGGAATTTATCTTTTTATCGTATCGCTCTTTGGATTGGTATTTGGCGTTCACTAGATTCTGACCGGCTATCTGTCTGAGGTCGTTCAATTTGGTAATAAGTTCGGTCAGGTACGTTCCGTATGTCTCGAGTTTTTCGTCTGAAGGTAATGATGACGGTAACCTCGCTAGTTTCCCAAATACTAGTTCGTAGGGCGTGAATTTAGTGCTCTCATGGATGGAGGTGTTGTAAAAGAACATTGCAAAAGAGATCAGCTGATCCCAATCGTCATACTTGTGTAGGTAATGTTTCAGATATTCTGTCAGCACGTGGTAACTTCGCTCTAGGGATCCGTTAGTTTGGGGATGGTATCCCGAGGTAGTTACATGCTTGATTTTAAATATTTTGGCTAACTTGCGAAATAGTATGCTAACAAAACATCCTCCACGATCAGTAAGGATAATTTTGGGCGCGTCGAAGTTTGCGATTACATGCCTTGCAAGAGCGTCGGCTACTGTTATTGCACTGACGTTTGGTATGGGGACAGCTATGCAATATTTTGTAAGGTTGTCCTGCACTGTTAGTATGTGACGATTCCCGTTAGATGTGATGGGGAGGGGTCCTACGTTGTCTATGGATATTTTCTCGAAAGCGTCTAGAGGGGTATCCGTTATGACCATTGGTTCTCTTGTTTTTACCCTAATTAATTTCTGCTCTTGACAACTCCTACAGGCACTAACATATTCTTGGACATCATGTTTTAATTCTGGCCAATAATAGCGTTCGCATATCCATTTGTATGTTTTGGTTACGCCCTTGTGTCCTCCTACTAAGCTATCATGGTACTCCTGAATTATC